ATTTAAATGTTAAATTATTTTAATATATTATTTTATTAATTGTAAAATTATTCCGGACCAAATTTCTAAGCCCGAGTTTTACAAATATTCTACCGATTATTTAACTAAAAATCATAACAAAATTAGAATTGCCGAATAACAAATATACTAGTAATTATCTAATTAACTAAAAGTTCAATTGAAGTTAAATTAAGATAATTTAAAATTATACATTAGTTAAGATTATCTATTGAATATTATATAAAATGTCTAATTAAAAAACCTATCAAAATTAAAATCCTATAATTAGAAACCAAAATAAATTACAATTTTATTAACTATTCTACAACGATTGAGAGTTTGTACTTAAAAATTTTACTGAAGTAAAACTACTTTATTAAAGATTGAACTAGAGTTTGTTGTTAATCTTTTTCTTGATTGCTTTCACTTAAAAGGCTTAACTTTTAAATCGAAAATTTTCAAGTAAGATGATTTCTTCAAACAATCAAGTTTATTTGTGTGTGTTTAGCTCAATGCTGGTGGTTGTATTGTATTTTATGTGGCTTTTTGAAAGGTTTTTCGTATTAATAATAATAATAATCTCTTTTTTAGGAAAAAAAATAGTTAAATCAAACACTTATATCTCCTAGTTAAGGAAAAAAATTTGTGCATCAATTAGGTAATTTTCATGTTAAAGTTTTAGATCATGAAAAAATTCTTTTAAAATCCAAATCAGATTCGTAGAATTTTTTAGTTTATAAGGTTATGTTCTTTAAAATTTTATGATTTTTTGATATTCATGTTATCACAAATAATAAATATTGTCTGAACTTATTTGATTTACTATTAATTTGGTATTATATATTGGATTATCTTCCGATGTAAGCATATTTTTGTTGTACAAATATTCTCATTTTTAAGTACAATTAGAATCTAATACAAACACTAATATCTCATAATTAAAGAAAAAAATTTGTACATTATTTAGGTAATTTTCACGTTAAGATTTTAGATACTGAGAAAATCCTTTTAAAATCCAAATCAGATTTGTGTAATTTTCTATTTTACAAGTTTGTTTTCCCTTAAATTTAATATTTTGTTGATATTCTTGCTATCACAAGTGATAGATATTGTCTACACTCACTTGATTTATTATTAATTGGTATTATATATTGGATTATCTTTAAAAATAAGAATATTTATGTTGTATAAATATTCCCAATTCTAAGCACAATTACAACACAATACAAAATCTCATTGTATGTTAGTTCGACAACTTTTGGATATGGAGAAGATTTCATTCAACGCAACTATTTTAATACTCATCTTTATATTTTCATCATGTTAGTTTTTCTTTATAATTAAAATACATATGTTTCTATCTTATAATTCATACATTTAATTTGTTTTAACATATCTATATATGTATTAAATATATATGTACATAACTTCATTACTTTTGCTAACAAATTCTCATAATTATTATGTCGCACCAACATTAGGTGAAATACTATGTTCAACACCCTCTGATTGTAAAGAGCCATGTCCGCAAGGTGAAATTCTATGTGAAGAAGGACAGTGTTTCTGTATTCACGATATGACAAACACTAATTCCATTTTCAGCCCAAGACAATGTTTAAAAACCTCTGATTGCACAGGCTTATGTTCACATGGGAGAATGCAATGTGCGGATGGCCAATGTAGATGTGTTGATCTTATGGAATACACTAATTCCATCTTTAGCACAAAAAAAACGATAAAAAACTGCCGATTGTAGAAGTATTTGTCTTCATGGTGAGATGAAATGTAAGGGTGGTCTTTGTACATGTGTTGGTGATTAGATCAACATATTTATTGTTTATCTCTATCTATATATGAAATAAAAGACATTTTAATATTATATATATATTTTTTTTTTCGAAGTTGATTGAAGTGCAAAATGTTTGATGAGAAATTCAAAATTTTAAAAGTGACCAACTAAGTAAATAATGTATTTCAACTAAGGATTAGCAAGAACTTGAATTTTCTTTTACTTATTTAAGAATTTTTTGTATATATTTTGTACTTTACTTTACTTATCTATTAAAAATAACAATAAATTTACTAAAAAATATTTGTACGAAGCATGCATGCCTCCACTTCATCTTCTCTCTTTTCCCCTCATTTTAACAATCGCCGTTCAACCTTCCTCTTTTATAACGTTGGAAACGACATCGTTTTAGACCCCCTTTTTTTAAAAAAAAAAAAAAAAATTATGACAACTTGGCTTGGACGGCGTCGTTTTGGACGTTGGTGGTGCAGGACTTGAGCTCATGCTGGCTGGGCCTTTGACATGCATGGGCCTTTTCTTTCCTTTCGTTTTTCTCCTCTCGGGCGGGGTGGGCTTCGTCTTCTCTATTTACTCCATTTTCCTTTTCTTTTCTTCTCCTTTATTTGGGCTGTCTTGTCTCTTCTTTTTATTTTCTGGTTTTCTTCTGGGTTGGGCTGCTGGGCTCTTCTTCTTCTATCCTTCTTTCTCTTTCATTCTTCATTTATTTATTTTTAATCTTAAATACAATACCCAAAAAAGAAGAATAAATAAAATACAATGATAATAATAATAATTTTACAATCACCGACTATTTTAATTTGTAAAATCTTTTAATTATCAACCAGTTGTTGTTGTTGTTATTATTATTATTATTTTTTTAGAATAATTATTATTATTTGTTACTTAGACTCATTAAATTATTATGACAGCGAGGTAAGCATCCATTTTCTTTGGCATCATTAGTTTGATGTTAAACACACAAAATTAACAGGATTTTGAGACTTAAATGACTTTCTATGCATTAATTTTATAGGAGTTCACTTTAATGGTAGTATAACGATGAATGATCAATTACTAAACTTACGAGATTAAATAAATTAATTACATTACAATCAAGAAGTCACCCAATATTTATCAGGGACTAAAAGGATATATAATTTGAGTTAATATAGATTTACCTTATTCTACTTTTCTCTATTCAACTTAAATTTTAATAATTTAATATGAAAAAATTAATTCTAATTTTAAATAATAAATTAATTTCTCTCATTTTCAAATCTGTAACAATAAAATATTATCAGATATTTGCTAAAAATAGTTAATATTATCTCTTTCTATGGGATATTGTAGATTCATCAAGTTCAATGGTGTATTCTCCTGCGTCCTTATATATATATATATCAAAGCTACCGGGTTTGAAAGTAAGTGCATTTCTAGAGTGCAAAACTATGCGGTTCAGAGAAATTTGGAAAGGAAGGGAGACCAGGAGGCAGCTTTAATATGGGATATTGTAGATTCATCAAGTTCAATGGTGTACTCTCCTGCGTCCTTTAATAAAAAATTATATTATGATAAAATGTGTACATATATCAAAGCTACCGAGTTTGAAAGTAAGTGCATTTCTGGAGTGCAAAACTATGTGGTTCAGAGAAATTTGGACAGGAAGGGAGACCAGGAGGCAGCTTTAATATGGATTCGAGTAACCATGCATGATCTGATCTTGAATTTTTTCTTTACTGCCTCGCCTAATTTGATAATGGGAAATTACAATAACCTATCAAAATTCTAGCACTTGATGAATATCTACCGGTCTCCCAGACCTAAAAGAAAGCTTTTGCTCGTCTTGAACAATGGTACCTGCCCTCTAACCGTGCTTCAATTAGTTTTGCATGTAGGGTGTCTTTTTGAATGCTATGAGGCAATCTGGAAGCAGATTCAGCATTGTCAAAATCCGAAGAAGTCCGTTTCGATATCCATTGTTGCAAAGGACTGGCACGAACACAAGAATCTCCCCTTAAATCAATCTCAGGATGGACTTTATCACCTTCAGATGACAAAGATTGATTTCTGATTAAGTGATCAAGAACTTGATTAGGGCTCGATACGCAAATCTCGACTGGTTTGGTTTTATTTTTGTATAGATCTTCTTGTGCAGCTCCACAGTTCTCTTCTCGTGGGTCATTCCATTCACTATCATTTGATTTTGTATTGCCTCTGGCAGCATGCTCATCAAACACTGGTTCCAAACCGGACAAGTTGTGAATCCTTGTGACTTCCTTCGATCGAACCTTTTTCTTTATAGAATTTGAGTTTATTAATTCTTCAAGATGGCCTTCTGAAGTAATAACATCTTGTTGTTTAGAGCTATTTTTACTTCGTCTTCCACTTGCACTCTGGTAATCACTATGAATATAATCTTCTTCATCAGCAAGGTCATGGGGTGCACTTATAGTCCCATTCAGTGGAAATGACTCTACAGAATGTCTAACCGAGCAACTTTTTCTCTTTTCATGTGGGTGAATAGAGCGTTTTGAACAAAGGAAAGTTTCTATATCAAGACTCAACTTGTCCACAATTGTGTTATATTCTGTAATATCACTCTGGCCTTCTGCTAGCTTCATTTGCAGACGCTCATCAAGCCATGCTTCTGAAATATGGAGAATTAATCGGTCAGAGTCTTCCCTGCCGGTATGATCTGTCTGATATTTGTGTTTTAATGCCCGCACTTCTTGCTCATATTCTCTAATTCCCTTTGCAAACTCATCACACAAATTCTCCAATAGAATCCTTGCTTTCCTCTCTCTTTCAAGTTCTTTCAATTCATTCGCGAAAGAAGCCTTCGTCTCAGAAAGCTCGCGAGCTAGCTTTCTGTGAAGGTTTTCTGAGTGCCTTCTCAACCTTCTCTCATCTTCTAATTCATCTCTCATCGACTCAATGACAGCTTTGATTCGATCTAGCTCCTTATTCTTCCTAACAACTTTTTCCTCTGCAACTTGTTGCATTAAGTCATCCATCCCTTGCCTATCCTTTTGCTTTTCCCGCAGTAATTCTTTGATTCGGGCCTGGCAATGATCCAGTTCCATCTTGAGAGCTTTCACCAATGACATGTTAGATGCATGCTGCTCTTCAAGACTCCATATTCTATTCAGCACCTTCAGAAGCTCAGTTGATGTTTTAAGGCTATAACTTGATTTAGCCGTTCTACTGTTAAACTCCAAAGAACTGCTATGTGTGACTGCAGGATTATAATGTGTAAGCTGCAATGTAGAAGTGAATCTATTAGAACATAATAGACAGAACAAGAAAGCTTTTTTTTAAAACTAATGGACATTTAGAAGAAGCATTGAGGAAACAATAAAGTTGATAATCCACTACAAGGTTAATTTAAGATTAGAAACTATGATTAGAAACTATTTTCTTGTTTCCCTGTTCTTACATATGAATTAAAAAATAAATCCAATAAAAGAAAAGCAATTGTTACCCTCAAGTCAAGCCATACATAAGAGATCCATATAAGACTTGTGAAAAAGATTCAATCCTTCCACAGATTCCAAATCACCTGATTCTCTTTATCCACCCCAATTCTTGACTTCTAAACCAAATCAAAGAATTCATGTCCACTTTCTTCCTTCCAAAGATTCATGCTCTGGTTTCATTGAATATGAAATAATTTATTGTGGCCAATTATCTAAAACGTTTAAACTTATAGAAAAAAGCTCAATCTTTTATTTTTACATTAACGTGCCTTGTCACATGCAAGCCCTCAAGGTTGAAAGTGTGAATCAAGCACACATCAGCAATACCCTTACTAAAAAAAATTAATTAAAAAGAAGGTGTGACAATGAAGATTCATATTTTAGAACCTCTAACCCTGAAAAAAACAGTCATAAATTTATTAGTCTATTAATATAGAAAATGCTTTATCGCTCATTCATTAGACATGTAGACAAGATTTCTCCCAGGTCTTCCTTATCTCTTGCAATAGTCAAAGGAAAAAATTTTGGTCTTCGTGAGACATCCCTCTCCCTCCTCCGAACCCCCAACAAATATTGTGCCAAAAAGTAAAAGCCTTCCTTGTACACTGGAGAGCCTCAAAGCAGGTCCACAATTAGCAAAATGTTTCCAATACATTCCGACATTCTAATCCCATATATCCCTGCCTCATTAGAGATCAAACCCCTTATGATCCTCCATCATAAATTGCCAAAGCCACCTTGCAAGAAGAGCTTTGTTGAAAGGGAGAAAGGTTTTAGTCATAAGTCACCTCTAACAAGTGGAAGTTTGAGAGCACACATTCTGTCTAACATAATTCCCTCCATGTCTCCTCATGAAAATTTACATTAGATTCCCCTAAGCTGCTTATCTATCCCTCTAGGAATGGAGAAAAGTAACGTGGAAGTAAATAGCGAAACTAATGAGGGCAGCTGATAATTTTGGTTTCACACAGAAGCACTCTTTGTGTTCCGAATCACAGAGGAAACAGGAACGATATCTCATTGTTAATGGTTTTAACAGATAGATAGATAGATAGATAGGTAATGAAATTGAGATAGATGTAAGTTAGACCTGACTTGTTTCATGTAGAATCCGAATTTCTTTTGTAACAAAAGGTTGCTGTATTGCTTGAATCTATGACTTCCCAATATTGTTTAGCCAAAATTTTTAATCTTAACTATAACAGGCTTTATCCTACATAACAATTCAATTTACTCTCTTTGCTCAAATGACAATTTTCACAGAAGGAACAAAGCATCCAAGTTTCACTTTTGATTGCTTCAGCCAACCACTTTCCGACTCCAAGTGAAATAGACACTCTAGGAGCAAGAAGAAACCACTTAATGTTTGATGAATATATATAACATCATAATAATCAAGAAAGCTTAGATATTTTACCTCCATTGAGCTACCATCACTTGTAGGGGAGACAGGCTGTAAACTGCAGCCATTGGATTGATGATGATGAACCAGTGATGCTGCAGCATGCCTCCTCAAGCTGCTTCTACTTTCTACCTAAAATGAAGTTCAACGTTAGATCCATTATTTGTATGTAAAGGGCATTTCAAAATGCAAGCACCCTTGTATTTCAATCATATGTTTTTCAGATAAAATATTTTAGAAGAACTAATCAAATTTCCTTTTAAATCTTGCCAACAAACAGCCAAGACGCTTATTATCTTACAAGTAGACTAACACGGATATAAGCCACCATAAAAAGATATCCCAAATCTAGATCACTTACATGCTGAAGATTCTCTGCATTTTTTCCAGGTAAAGAAAATTTATGTACGTTGTCATAAATACCAATCAATTAACCATAGAGATAGGATTTAGAAACAGCAGAAACCCACAAGAATACGGGCTCAAGCAGCTAAACAAACAGATGGAAGCTTTGGAACGAAAGCAAAACTCAATATAATATTAACACGTCACTCACTCATCAATTAATTAATGTGAGAAAAAAAAATCAGAAAGCAGTAAAAGACAAACCAAAAAAGAAAAGACCCAAGATGAGCAAGCAAAGGAAACAAACAGGCAAGAGAAAGATCACCAACTAAAAAGCACAGAACTTTACACTAAGAAAAATCAAAAGGGAAGGAACCCTGACCAAAACACCATAGAGATACAAGCATTAAAAGAAAGGAAGAGGAAAGAAAAACCTGATGAGGTGTAGGGGGAGTATTTGGAGGATCAAGATGAAAAGTTTGGTTGTTGTTGGGGGGGTGGTGACGGAGCTTTGCAAGTTTCTTGTTCATTAAGAGATGAGGAGGTGGGTGAGGGTGAATGTCCCAGAGACTAGCACAGAGCTGTCTAGCAGACACGGACACTTTGGTCGTGTTTGGAGGAGATGGTGATGATGAGAGATGGAGCTTCCATGTAGGAGAAGGAGTCGAGGGGGCTGCTCTTTTTCCTACCAGAAAACCGCGTTTCAACTTTTTCATGACCATTAATTCTTTCTCTTCAGCTTTTCCTTTCCTTTCCATTTTCTTTTCCTTTCTCTTTTTCCTCTTTCTCTCTTTTATCTCAGACTCGAGAACCTCTCTCTCTTGCATTTAGTTCTCGTACAGTGACCCAGAAACTGAAAAGCCTTCGACTTAATTTCTGCCGTGGACTTGAAGGATCTTGTTTGTGGCCCCCTTCACTGGATTATAACTGAAAAGACCTGTGAATTTGAACCATATATTTATATGTTTTTTATTTTATTTAAATGATTATTTACTTTCTTTTTATTCATTAGAATGTGAATTTGAATTCTATTATCATAAAATAGAAATAAAAGAAAATTGGTATGAAAATCCTGCATTTTAATTTTCATTAAAAATATAAAAAAAATGATAAATTTTGGAATTTAGTAGGTGGAGAAAGTATAGCATAATTTATTAGGGTTGCAAAGATTAATTCCTTATAATCAGAGGGTTGTAGTGATTTTATACTAAAAAAGCAGACAATTATTGACTTATGTCTTCTCAAAAAACATTAGTATTTGAGTTTTATGAAGGTTTTCTCCTCAAGAATTTTGAATTAAAACTACTAGTTGACAGTAAACATTGGTCATGAACATAATGATTATTAGATTTTTGTCACATGTACATACGTGTACATATACATATACATATATATATATATATATATGCTGGTCAACAAAGTAAAAGAATCATATTGGAAGCAAAGCATCATGAAAACATGCAATTGAAACTTTTAAATTCTTGACATTTAGTAACGAATAGGAAGTGTAAGTAAGATGGGATGATATATATATATATATACACACACACACAGTAGTCAGTCAAATTAAAAGAGTTTACCAATAATCTTGAATATTGAGGGGGGGAAAAGAAAAAGTGAATATTCAAAACTCAAATAGCGGTGGCAAAGCCAAGGCATGCATGCACTGCAGATTGGGTATCTTTAACTTCTACGTCCTTTCATGCTACCCCCACCACCCTATTTTGTAGGCTTTCTTTTGAGGTAAGTTTTCGTAGACGTAAAACTTAATTTACTGCGGATCTACACTTGTTTTTTTATTTTTTTATTTTTACTTCATTACTACTTTTAAACTCGTCTTTTTTTTTTTTTTGTTTTGAAGGTTTTATTATTTATATGAGATCCTTAAATATATATAAAATATTTTCAAAATGGTGGTTTACTTCTTATATGATATAGCAAAACTTAGAGGACAAAATACATATATATATATTTTTTTGAAAAAAGGTACTATCTGTATGTAAACTCATACTGAAATGTCCGCTCAAGGTATGTGGCTGTGTGTGTGTGTGTGTGTATACATATATATATATATATATATAGGTTATACATGTATATAATATAATATAGTTTTGAAACCGATGTATCTATATCTTTTACAAGATGCTATTATGATGGTCCAATTTCATCTACCAATTAAGAATGGACCAAAAATAAATTGTGGTCCATGTATCTAACTAAATCATGCAATAAGGAGAGTTGGTATCGCAAATTAGATCTTTGTTTGTTTGTTTGTTTGATCAAAGTATTTTTAATAGTTTAATGTTTATTCAGCAGTTTGATCTTTTATTATTATATACAAAATTGTTAATTTTTTACACTATTATTTTTAATTTTTTGTCTTTTTTTTTTCCCCCTTCAAATTTTGGTGATCAAACTTTTTCATGCTTTTGTTTATAAAATTAATGATTTTATATACAGTGATATATAAAAATCAAACAAAATGTTATTAAACTATTACCAAAAAAATACAATCTTGAATTATTTCAAAATTTTGCTGTAAAATTTGTTTACAGTTCATTTCCAAGGCCATTCACTGAAAAAAAAAATAAAATAAAAAAGGTGAAAAAGAAATGAAAAGCAATAATTTAGGAGAGTAAGACATAGTCGTTGGATTCTTTTAGGGCATATTGTCCTAAATATTTCCTGTCGCACGAGGACATGATTAAGCTGGTTGGACATGGAATTGAGATGGACTTGGACATGGACCACCTCCTCACCAAGTATCAAATTTTGGACCACTTGGGAACTGCTCTAATCCAAAACTAGCTAAAGTGGTCCGTCCAATCCTTGCAAATTCACATGTACAAAATACTTACCTACTTGTAATTTACCCGACAACAACGATCATGAATTAATATATATATATATATATATGCATATACGTGTTTATATATATAACCTCAAACCAGAAAGTGTCACTTCCAACTTCATTCTTACTTAAAATGATGATGAACAATCTTTCACAGATTTCCAATCTTAGTTACTTTCAATTTACCCCTCATCGGTGACTGGATTAAACAATGGAAGAAAAAAAGATTTCCAATCTTTTTTTTTTTTTTCAATGATTAATTTCTAGGCAATGGCATCACATCACTGGTTTCATTTATGTCACTGAGTATACATGAACAGAGCTTTAGTGTTCATCCTTTGGATCATGGTGGACCTAGGGTTTGTCTCTGCCACTGTAATTGGCAGTCATGCTTTTGGCAAAATGAGAGTGATACATTGGAAATGATTTAAATGAGAGCGTACTACATCAAATTTAATTAACAGTGTCTACTAGATTGGCCGTGGTCCAGAATGTAACGCATGGAACATGTTTACCCAAAACATAGAAATTCCTATGGAGTCTCAAATGATTTCTGCAAGGAATAATAATAATAATAATAATAATAATAATATTCATGAATTTAGTGAATTCATATCACACAAATCATCATTATGAATTTCTACACTTTCTTATAAACACCTCGTGGACAAATCATTATGAATTTCTACAAGTTATAACATGCTTCTGATGTTCTCATGCATAAAATGCAGCCCTTTTCCTGATTCTTGCTTTTAAGATAGCAACACACGGAATCCTAGCTAGCATAGACCTAATCAACTGCATTTTCTTCATCTTTTTTCAGTGCAACCGTTTTCTGAATATTTCACATAGTAAACATTATTCACCTGTAAAAAGATGAGAGTATCCACTGATCATCATCCTTTTACTTGAATCATCATAATCATGATTCACACAGCAGGATTCTTTAACCGCCGACACTGCCTCACTCCATGCTAGATTTTAAGTTAAGTAGTCCATTATCAACATAGACAAATAATCTAACTGCCTGCTACTTCATCCAGATTCCTGCAAAACAAGAAAACAACAAAAACACATATCCATAACTAGGTCTTCTCATTGCGCATGTTAGACATTGTTTTTTGGGCTCATATATTAAATGCTGTGGTCCTTACTAGAAATTCTTGGTTCTTTCATTCACCACTAACGAGAAATGGTGCATAGTTCAATTATTCACAAGTTTAAAGAATGTTCAGGCTACGCTTTCTACACACTGGCCTTACTAGATGAAACCTGGGTTCAAAATGAAACAACAAGAGCCCTAGAGAAGTAGGTCCTGCCCAACTAACCAAACAGAAGAATGAAATTTTCTAGGCCTTCATGCCAAGTCCTATATATATATATTTCGAGCAGGGGCCGTTACCTTCTTTTTCTTTAAAGGTTGGGAAGTTAAAATAGCATATATAACTAGCAGTATAAGTATCGGACAAGTATTTATCAAATTTTAACGTTCAGATCCAGTAGATTTGAGAAAGAGGGCTTCAAAGGAAGTAGTTGCTTACATGGTTGATGGGAGGATTGTTTTAAAAATTTCATGGGGATCACCACCTAGTTTCTCAGCCAGGATGGCTAAGCCGGCTTGATTCGAGTCCTACCCGGTGTCACCCCATCAATTGCAAAGAAAAATATGTGCACAGTAACTTGTAAAAGGAACTAACCCATTTTCACTTGGTGAGCTCAAGTCGTCTGATTCATCTGCTTGAAATATTTGGGTAAGGAAATCCTGGAAACGAACAGCATATGCTTTGGGATTTATAGCTGAGATGGACTTTGAATTATACTGTAATGACTTGTATGCGCGCTCAATGCGCTTTCTCACACCATAATTCTGAAAAATGTCTACTATTTCAAAGTATAATGAAACATTATAGTACTGCTGTGCACCAGCCTTTCGATGGGAAATGCTCCCGGACTTGTCCCGTGATATTGGAACAGCAAGTGCTGGGACTTTCAGACCAAATGGAGAGGAACTGCAGATAGAACGTTACGTAAAATTAAAGAACATAATCAAATTCCTTATCTGTGTTATATTGTTGTGTAGCAACTCTGACCTCTTGCATCCATGTAATTGTTATATTAAGAAAATTTCATTTAATTATTGAGAAATATAATGTATACAGATAGAACAAAGAACTCGAAGTTTTAAATGGAGTTCGGTACTATCATTAGTCACTTCAATCCACTATTGTTAGAATATTTTAGATTTATTATTCGAATCTTACAGGTGAATCACAACTTATAAAGAATTATAAGCAAATTTAAAAATAAATAATAAATTGTAAAATTCTATTCGAAATTTTAATCTAGTTAAAATCAAATCTTATCAAATATTTAGATAACTTATTTTATTTAATTATAAGGTACAATATTAATAGATGTTTTTTTGGAAACAAATATTTGTTTAGCTGTCTATGATATATATTTCTCAAAATAAATTTTGATATTTTTTTTTTGTAAAATTTTAAGAAGAAGAAGTCATGTGCCATCTTGTATTTGTGCTTATACTGTTCTAATCTAGCTTATTAAGACTGATTTTGAGGTAACTGCCCTATGGGGCAGCATGCTGTTTTCTAGTGCCAAATGCTTACTTTTTGTCATGGAAAGACAATATTTACCTCTTGGGCAGCCAACTGTCAGCTAAATTGAACTCTTTTTCTTCATTTTCTAGCATAGAGCTATCAGGACAAGAACTCCTGCTATCAATTGAAGCTGCATGAGAGATAAAAGAGGATACATCAAAAACTCTCAAGAGTTATAGAATTAGTTGTTGGAGTTTACTGACCACCAATGCAATTGCACACACCTCCTGGAAAAGATGCTAGGAAGAGAGCAATAATATACCTTGTCAACAAATTATTATGGTCAAGTTTCTTCAATCAAATATAAACAAATGAATGCATGGCAGTCAAAGCACTCACAATTCCTAAAATATTATTTAATCCTAATATGGGAAGTTTCTTTTTCCCTCCTCTAATCTTTCATTCCAGCAGTCTTTTTGCATCTCCAGCAGTAGAAACTACAACCTCTTCATTTCCAGAGGTGCGGGGGAGGAACCACAAAGCTATTACTAGGCTTTGAAGTTTATATCCAAAAAAGTGAAGGGGCAATAAAGTGGGACAAGAAGATGCTTTGAACATCACCTCGGACTGAACTGATGGAAGATGTTCTAATGGAAACAGAGGATCTATTTGCGAAGTGTCTGGAAAATATCTTTTCATCGATAGAACCTCTGCTACTAATCGAACCTGCGAGAATGACACAAGATAAAATGTAAATTTTGTTCTCCCTCAAATATGAAGACTGTTTACATCTGTATCTTTCTTCCCTATCAAACTTCTTTATGGGGCATCATCTAAAACTCTCTTGTATTTTAGCATATGTATCAAATTAGTAGCTGACAATTTAATGAAATCAAATAGAAGCTTGTATTTTTAACTTGCACTAAATTGACGCTTCAAACAAAAAATATGTTGACTTTATCAGATTTTTTTCATATTTTTGCTGAAGCATTATTTAAAAGTACCATTTTTCCCTTGAACAACAAAAACTCTATTAAAGTTAGCATTTTCGTCAGTCTGAAGCACCAATTTTCTACATATTAAAGACACAAGCTTCTATTCAATTAGCTAAATTGTAGAACATTAATTTGATATATTTGGTAAAATAAAAAGAGATTTTTTGATAATATCCCTTTCTTTTCACCTGCTGCAATTTCTATCTTAATTCTTTTTTTTCCTTTCTATTAAATGCCTGCCTAATTTTTTAAAATCTAAATTATGAACATATTTCCTCTGTATATATTATATTGAAGGAGGATCTTCATTTAAGAAATCACCTTGACTTAGAGAGTCAGTGGAGACTAAACCTCGAGGACCGCACAAACCTGTATTAGAAAGAAGCTGCTAGCATGATTACCGGAAAGATGTTTGGATAGGATAGTTTAAAAATAGAGAAGCCTTCCAACAAATATTCATTTAATCAAACATTATATATTTATAATAAACTGCATCAAGTGAAATCATTTAATTACGTACTTAATAAAATTCCTAAGTACTTCTCCATCTTATTCTTTAATGGTCTCATGACCAAATATGTAAGCATCTTTTTTTAAAATTTTAAAGATGAAATAACCATCCAGTTCTCACTCAATTATTCAGACAACTACTATCTTGTAATGCAGTAGTACCTTCCTTTAGAAAATTTTATAACAGTCTGCAGTTGGATTTGTTTTTACATATTTATCTTAATTATTTCACTAGCATTAAAGTGATGCAATTATTTGTCAGAGATATCACCTTGAGTTGAACCTTTCACATGGAAACCAAGCAGCAAACTATAATCCATTATGCCTTCAGTTGCCAAAAACTCACAATCAAACTTGATTTGCCTGTAGGTAAAAGTACAAGATCATTAGACAATCAAACTTGATTTGCCTGTAGGTAAAAGTACAAGATCATTAGTCCTTCACAAAAGTAAATTACATTTCAAGACAGGGTAGAATAGAAAAATGGTTCATCA